TCTGAAATTGACCAAACATGCAATTAATATGTGTTGATCGCTACTGGTGATTGGAATGCAAAAGTTGGAAACAAAAAAATCACCAGCAGTTGGAAAATATGGCCTTAATGATAGAAATGACGTTGGAGATCACACGATTGAATTTTGCAAGACCAACGACTTATTCATTGCAAATACCTTTTTTCAACAATATAAATGGTGGCTATACATGTGGACCTCACCAGATGCAATACACAGGAATCAGATTGACTACGTCTGTGGAAAGAGGTGATGGAGAAACTCAATATTTTCCGCCAGAACAAGGCCAGGAGCTGACTATGGAACAGACCATCAACTGCTCATATGCAAGTTCAAGTTGAAGCTGAAGACAATTAAAGCAAGTCCATGAAAGCCAAAATATGACCTTGATTATATCCCACCTGTATTTAGAGACCATCTAAAGAATAGATTTGATGCATTGAACACCGAAGACTGAAAACCAGGTGAGTTGTGGGGTGACATCAAGAACATCATCCTGAAGAAAGCAAAAGGTCATTAAAAAGACAGGAAAGGAAGAAAGACTGAAATGGATGTCAGAAGAGACTCTGAAACTTGCCCTTGAACAGAGAGTAGCTAAAGCAAATGGAAGAAATAACAAGATAAAAGAGCTGAACAGAAGATTTCAAAGAGCAGGTCGAGAAGAGAAAATCAGTTATAATGAAATATGCAAGACCTGGAATTAGAGAATGAAAAAGGAAGAAGATGCTTGGCATTTCTCAAGCTGAAAGAACTGAAGAAAAAAATTCAAGCCTCGAGTTGCAGTATTGAAAGATTCTATGGGCAAAAGATTGAATGCTGCAAGAACCATTAAAAGAAGATGGAAGGAATACACAGAGTTGCTGTACCAAAAAAGAACTGGTCAATGTTCATCCATTTCAGGAGGTAACATATGATCAAGAACCAATGGTACTGAAGGAATAAGTCAAAGCTGTGTTGAAGGAATTGGCGAAAAACAAGGCTCCAGGAGTTGACAGGACACCCATTGAGATGTTTCAACAAACGAATGCCGCTCTGGAGGTATTTACTTATTTATGCTAAAAAGTTTGGAAGACAGCTACCTGGCCAACTGACGGGAAGAGATCCATATTTGTACCCATTCCAAAGAAAGGTAATCCCACAGAATGTGGAGATTATCAAACAACATCATTAATATCACATGAAAGTAAAATCTTGCTGAAGATAATTTAAAAGATGCTTGCAGCAGTATATTGACAGGGAACTTCCAGAAATGCAAGCAGGATTCAGAAGAGGATGTGGAACGAGGTTTATCATTACTGATGTCAGGTGGATCTTGGCTGAAAGCAAAGAATGCCAGAATGATGTTTACTTGTGTTTTATTGACTATGCAAAACATTCGATTGTCTGGACCATAACAAATTATGGATAACATTGAGGAGAATGTGAATTCCAGGTCACTTAATTGTGCTTATGAAGAACCTGTCCGTAGACAGGAGGCTGTCATTTGAACAGATCAAGGGGATACTGCATGGTTTAAAATCAGGAAAAGTGTGCATCAGGATTGTATCCTTTCACTATATTTATTCAATCTGTATGCTGAGCAAATAATCCGAGAAGTTGGACTGTATGAAGAAGAACTGGACATCAGGATTGAGGAAGACTCATCAATAGCCTGTGATGTGCAGATGACACAATTTTGCATGCTGACAGTGAAGATGACTTGAAGTACTTACTGATGAAGGTTAAAGACTACAGTCTGAAGTGTGGATTACCCCTGAATAAAAAGAAAATGAAAATTCTCACAACTGGACCAATAAGCTGCATCATGATAAATGGAGAAAAAATTGAAGTTGTCAAAGATTCTATATTTATTTCCACAATCAACACCAATGGAAGCAGCAGTCCAGAAATCAGACATCATATGGCATTGGGCAAATCTGCTGCAAAAGACCTCTTTAAAGTGCTGAAGAGCAAAAATGTCTCTTTGAAGACTATAGTGTGCTTAACCCAAGCCATGGTATTTTTGATCGCCTCATATGCATGTGAAAGCTGGATAATGAATAAGGAAGACCA